GGATAAACTGTAGATGTGTGACAGCCAGGGTCAGGCAGGCTGTACTGAGGCCCTGAATAGCCTAAAAGATTTAATATTACTCGTGATACCACTTGAGGTTCTGTCACATTGTCGATAATGAATGGAGAGGTGTGTGTGTGTGTGTGTGTGTGTGTGTGTGTGTGTGTGTGTGTGTGTGTGTGTGTTTGTGTGTGTGTTGTTGGATAGTGTGTCTTGTGTGTGTGTTTTTTTTTTGTGAATGTTTTGTTGTAGTGTCTTTGTGTCTTTTTTACCTTGTTTCTGTCTGTCACTCTCTGTCTGTGTGTGTGTGTGTGTGTGTGTGTGTGTGTTGTGTGTGTGTGTGTGTGTGTCTTCAGTCTTTTTTTGCCTGACAGTCTCTCACTCTGTAACCTATCTGTCTGTCTCTCTGTCTGTCTCTTAACAGCTTATGGTGATATTGAAAGTCTGTCTGTCTTTCTGTCTCCCAGTCTGTCTTTCTGTCTGTCAGTCTCTTAATAATTTATCATATATTGAAAGTCTGTCGATGACTCAGAGAATTTTTGACGCTGGACTTATTGTACTTAATCTTAATCTAGTGGTGGAAAGTGTGTGTGTGTGTGTGTGTGTGTGTGTGGTATCACCCAGAGAGAGTAAAATGACGTTCTAGGTAATAGTGACTGGAGATACTCCCTCCATTCTCCCTTCCATCCACCCCCCCTTTCTCCTTCCTCTCCTTCCTCTCTCTCCTCTCTCCCTCCCTCCCTCCCCTTTTCAATCCACAGACAACAGTGATTGGAAAGATTCTTGGTCCAGAGAGAGAGAGAGAGAGAGAGAGAGAGAGAGAGAGAGAGAGAGGGACCCAGTTATCATCTCAACTTCATAAAACTTATCACGGGAGGCAGGGCGTCGGGAACCCAGTAAGAGAAGCCTCGACATTTGTGGTGCAATTCGCGTGTCCAATGGCCCCCCCTCTTCTCTCCGTCTCGTAAATCTTCAGATATGCACACGGGCTGGTAATGGCGGTGTCATCTTAACGTGTATTCTTGGAGAAGTACCGTCTCTCTCTGCCGCAGTAACGTCGCCGCCTCTCTCTGCCGTCTCCTCTTCTCCGTGCGGTGTGAGTCATTTTTAAATCTTGATCATCTTTCTCGCTTTCTCTCGACTTTCTCTCTACCTCATCCGTAATAATCTCTTCACCTTCTCTCTCTCTCTCTCGTCTTCAACAATCCTCATGTGTGCAGACTTTTATCTTCTTGGTTATCTTGCTGCCTCTACTGTTTTCTTTCTCAGTTCTCTTGTCTTTTCTTTCATCTTCTGTTTTCTTTCTCAGTTCTCTTGTCTTTTCTTTCATCTTCTGTTTTCTTTCTCGGTTCTCTTGTCTTTTCTTTCATCTTCTTTCTCACAATCTTTTTCTGTTTTTTTTCCCTTGTCATTCTCATCGACTGAATATTTAGTGATGAGCTTTGACGTCAGCTGATTTTGGTTAATGTAGCGTCTACCTCACCTGGCTGGCCGATCACCTGATGTTTACGTAGACTCGTTGGCTAGCACATCCCTCACCTGGCCGGTATAATTAGCTTTCAGTATTTACCTGTAATCATCTAGCTTGGGATCACCTGACTTTGTTGACATAGGGTCATTGGTAATACATTGACCTGGTTGGTTGATCAGCTGGTTGTGAGTAATCTACCTGGACTGAGGTTAACTGTATACGTGTATTGCCTATGTATACCCTCTCTCTGTCTCTCTCTTTGTCTGTCTCTCTGTCTGTCTGTCTGTCTTCCTCTCTCTGCTATAGATAATTTCACCCAATGAATACCCCCCTCCCCCCCACCACACCTGTGCGTAAGATAAATGGTAATATTAAACTAAGATGAATTACTTTAAATTACCTGAACCACTCAACTCTGACAGGTGGGCGTCAACCTCACCTAATCACTGGGTGGGTGTTGTAATGGGTATAGATTAAGTGACTAAATCCGGGTTACATCCTCGACGAACAATAAATCCAGGTTATATTCTCGACGACCAGATACCACGGGGGGGGGGGGTCTAGTGAAGGTTCCGGGTTATGTTCTGGAGAAGGTGTGAAGGGTTACAATTTTTTTTACTGAAGTTCGGGGTTATGTTTTGGTGAAGGTCCGGTTTACATTTTAGACAGGTAACAGGTTATATTTTGGGGTTACATTTTTTCTACCGATAGTCTGGGTTATATCTGGAGGAGGAAGGGAGGAGGAGGAGTAGGAGGAAGGGAAGAGGAAGAGGAGGAGGAGGAGGAGGAGGAGGAAAATGAAGAGGAGGAGGAGGAGGTAGGAAGAGGTGAGTTTAGCAAGATAATAGTTGGGTGTGTTTCAGTGACAATAATGTGACTAGGAGAGCTGATTTCAGTCTCATTCAGTTTATTTTACCTGAAGATTGAACACTTTGGTTTATTTTTTACCTGAAGATTAGACACCTAGTTTATTTACCTGAGATTAGACACCCTAGTTTATTTTACCTGAAAGATTAGACACTTGAGTTTATTTTGCAGAAGATTAGACACTTTAGTTTATTTTACCTGAAGATTAGACACCTGAGTTTATTTTACCTGAAGATTGAGCACCTAGTTTATTTTACCTGAAGATTAGACACTTTAGTTTATTTTACCTGAAGATTAGACACTTTAGTTTATTTTACCTCAAGATTAGACACCTGAGTTTATTTTACCTGAAGATTAGACACTTTAGTTTATTTTACCTCAAGATTAGACACCTGAGTTTATTTTACCTGAAGATTAGACACCTGAGTTTATTTTACCTGAAGATTAGACACTTTAGTTTATTTTACCTCAAGATTAGACACCTGAGTTTATTTTACCTGAAGATTAGACACCCTAGTTTATTTTACCTGAAGATTAGACACCTGAGTTTACTTCACCTGATTATTAAACTACCCTTAAAATTAACCTAATCTAATATTTTCACAACTCAGCTTAACGCTTTAACAGATTTACGGATTTTTCACCGATTTTTGGCAAGCTAGTTTTTTTTTTTACAGATGTTCAATTTCATCTCTTTTTTCTTTTAAATTTTGTGCCTTTATATTTATGTTGTATCTTTCTTTCTTTATTCCTTTCTTTCTTTCTTTCTTTCTTTCTTTCTGTGTCTGTATTTTGCTTGTGTCTTTTCTTTCTTTCTTCATTTATTTATTTCTTCGTCTAGTCTTTATTCATCTTTCTTTTCTCTTCTTTTTGTTTCCTTTTCCGTCTCTCTCTCTCTCTCTCTTCTCTCTCTCTCTCTCTCTCTCTCGTGAGTGGGGGTGGGACCTCTGGTGTAAAGGAACATACAGCTTGGTAGGCTTCTGACCACTAACTGTTGAATATTTGCATGACACTTTCCTCGCCTCCTCCTCCTCCTCCTCCTCCTCCTCCTCCTCCTCCTCCTCCTCCTCCTCCTCCTCCTCCTCCTCTTCCTCCTCCTCCTCCTGCTACTGCTCTTCCTCCTCCCCTTATAATCTCTTGCCCCTCCAACGCCTGGGGAGGAAGACAGAAGGAAAAATGAAGGAAGAGGAGATGGGAGAAGAGGGAGAGGAGGGAGGAAAGGGGGAAAGAGAAGAGAGAGGAAAGGAATAAGGGAAGGGAAGAAGGAATGGGGTGGAGGGAGAGGAGAGGGGAAAGAAGGAAAGGGAAGGGAGGGGAAAGGAATAAGGGAAGGGAAGAAGGAAGGGCGGTAGAGGGAGAAGGATGGAGGTAGTGGGAGAGGAGAGGATGGGAGAGAGATGGAGAGGGACGGAAAAGGGTGATCAAATATCTTGGACAATTCCTTCTATTCCATGACATATGCTGTGATTTGAAGTCAACCAGCGTGCAGTCTGTTCCACTCCTTCCCCCTCCCATCCCCTCTCCCCAACCCCTCCCCCTCCCCTCTCCCTTCTCCCTTCCCACACTATCTCCAGTCAACACCTCCACCCTGTACCCACCCACTTTATGTATATTATTGAACTCTTCCACCCACGTCTCCTCCTCCTCCTTGTGCTCCACCCTTTTCCTCCACCTTTCCATTCAACAGGCGACCTCCACCCACCCCTCCACCCATCCTCCTCCCCCTCCTCCTCCCCCACCTCCTGCCCCACCTCCTGCCCCACCTCCTGCCCCCACCTCCTGCCCCCCACCTATCATCTCCCAACCACTGGCGCCACCGTTGCACGCACCGTTGTGGAAACCGTACTTAAAGTAATTGAAGCCGTGGAGGGGGGTGAGTGGGCGTGGGTGGGCTTGGGCGGGCTTGGGCGGGGTGACAGGAAGCCAACTCCCTAGTTTGTCCCCACAGCTGTCCTGGTGATAACAGTTTCCGTCAAGTATTTTCCTTGGTTATTTCCCTCAATTATTTCCCCAACATAATTCCAGGAAAATTTTGTATGAAGTATTTCTGTAGAATTTCTCTTAACTATCTCCGGGAAATACATCAGTGAGGGACCCTGTGAGGTGTTTTCCTGCTCTCTCTCCAGGAATTATTTCATATTTTTCTCAATTATTTTCCTCATAATTTTGTCCTTGTTATTACAGAATGTTATTATATTATTATTATTATTATTATTATTATTATTATTATTATTATTATTATTATTATTATTATTATTATTAACAGTACATATGCTATACATTTTCGTCTATATACGCCAGATATGCTATACAATTCTGCCTATATCAATCATTTGCTATACAGTCCAATCTATACCAATCCTATACCATATACTCTGCCTATAAGAATCACATAGCCTATACAACCATATAAGAATCACGCTATATATATAAGAGAACTATAAACCACAAGACTATATGGTTTAGGAATAAAACAACAACACAAAAACCAGAGGCTATATTTCATACTCCTTACCAAACCTAACCTAACCTAACCTAACCTAACCTAACCTAACCCAACCTTAACCTAACCTAACCTAACCCAACCCAACCTTAACCTAACCTTAACCTAACTTAACCTAACCTTAACCTAACCACACATGATCTATTTCTCTACCCACAGCATAAAGCCACAACCTAAGGAGGGGCAAACGAAGAGTAACCCGTCCAAACGTCACCGAGAGCGTCTTAATGCGGAGCTGGACAATCTAGCTGGTCTCCTTCCCTTCGAGCAAAATATCCTCTCCAAACTCGACAGACTATCCATTCTCAGGCTGGCTGTCTCTTACCTGCGCACCAAGAGCTATTTTCAAGGTAAGTGACTGGCTGACTGACTACCTGTGTGGGGGAGAGGAGGGGATGGTACAGTGGGTTTTGTGGGCACATGAGTGATATGTGTTACCATTGAGGATCGTGGGTTGGTATATGGGGTGACGAGGGATCTATATACTGTACCGTCGTGGGTCGTGGGTTGGTATATGGGGTGACGAGGGATCTATATACTGTACCGTCGTGGGTCGTGGGTTGGTATATGGGGTGACGAGGGATCTATACTGTACCGTCGTGGGTTGGTATATGGGGTGACGAGGATTCTATACTTTACCGTTGGGATCAGTGGGTCGTGAGTATAGGAAAGGTGAATAGTTACTCCTGAGTACCACTATACCACGAGTACAGGGCCTCCCGCATGCAGAGTACCAACGTCCCACTAGCTGTAGGGTCTTGAGTGTACTTACTATGGACGACGTTTACCACCGTTGGCTATAAGAGACGTTAAGAATATATATAATGGGTTAGGATGCAGCCTTAAGGTGGTTATCCACTGCTGTTTATTGTATGTGATCGTGTCTGAGATTTTATGTACCCGTGTGTTAAATTTTTATGTACCCGTGTTAATATTTCATGTACCCGTGTTATTATTACGTGTACCCGTGTTATTATCCCATGTACCCGTGTTATTATCCCATGTACCCGTGTTATTATTACATGTACCCGTGTTATTATCCCATGTACCCGTGTTATTATCCCATGTACCCGTGTTATTATCCCATGTACCCGTGTTATTATCCCATGTACCCTTGTCACAACGTCTTTATATAACAAAACCTACTGTAATGCAAACATGTATCAAACACTGATTATGTAAGCTATTTCTGTAATATTTTATGTATAGTGTCTTGACATTCTTACTCATTCACGACTAACATTGACCTTGTTACAGGAATCAATCATCATTCTATAAAAAACTTTCTTCACATTTTTCTTTCTTCAATATTGCTTACAGTGACAAAAACACACACACACACTATCTCTCTCTCTCTCTCTATCTCTCTATCTATCTATCTCTCTCTCTCTCTCTCTCTCCTTCATTTCCTCCCCCCTCAGTTAAGCAAGTAGGGAAAGCTAGCGACACTCACTAACCACCACTACCACCACTACCACCACTACCACCATTTTTAACACCAAGGACTCACTTAGTCACGAGATATATTTCCCATGACCGTGAATATACTCAGTGAGGCTAAACATACTACGGGTATATATCACCTACTCGAGTATACTTTGTCATACATGCTGCAGGTATCTCTCTCTCTCTCTCTCTCTCTCATGTGCTTTAGAGAGAGAGAGAGAGAGAGAGAGTCGTTCAGTGTGGTAGTTCAGGTGTGTCATATAGGTCAGGTCGTGTTGATTAAGCGAGTGGTGTCTGAATGTACGTATAATATATCGCTGCTGCCTCCCTTTGTCGTTATACTCTTACCTGTAACTGTAACCTGTATCTATACCTATAATTACCTTGCGTACCTGTATTTTGTATCTGTAATTATATGTGTATTTGTTTATGTAACTATATTTTGTAACTAAACCTGTGTGTGTGTGTGTGTGTGTGTGTGTGTGTGTGTGTGTGTGTAGGTTTTATGATTTTTTCCCAAACTTTCTTTATCATTGAGGACACACACACACACACACACACACACACACACACACGCACGCACACGTATAGTTTAAAATACAGACAGATACAAATGCAGGTAAAATTTCTTATAAAGCTAGAGGTAAAAAAATATAATCACAGGTACAAAACACAAGTAGGAATACAGGTAACACGTACAGGTGTAATAATAACCACTTTCTGAATCGTGATGACCCTTTGTAATACTGTACTGTACACCTGTATTTTGTAATTAACGCGTATTTCATCATTAAAATTCCCCCTTCATCCCTCCCCCCCCTACCTTGCCCCCATTCCTCCCCTTCCCCTACCTTCACCCATTCCTCCCCTTCCCCTACCTTGCCTCCATTCCTCCCTTCCCACCCATTCCTCCCTTCCCCCCTTCACCCATTCCTCCCCTTCCCCCTACCTACGTCCTCGAATTACTGTAAAAACATTCCTTTCATATAAAACTCAAGTGAAAGTATATATTCTCTTTGTATATTTTTGGTGTTATAATGACGAGAAAGAAAGAAAAGAAAGAAAGAAATAATATATATCGTTGTTTTAATTGTAAGAAAGATGGTTTGTTGAGTAAAAACAAAGGCGATATTCTTTTTGTTTTTGGTGTGTGTGTGTGTGTGTGTGTGTGTGTGTGTGTGTGTGTGTGTGTGTGTGTGTGTGTGTGTGTCATTACTCATTGTTATTGTTTTTAATCAATTTCTGGTAAGGTAATTATTGAAGGGTTTTATTCTTGCGTTATGTAATAATAATAATAATCACGACCCGGAATTAACGGGGGATGATCCTGAACGTGTGTTATAACCTTGATTTACGGCCGTAGCCTTGATTCTTATCTTGGGGTACTGTAGGTGTTGGGGAAGCTAACCGTTGTCTATGAAACGATACGTACATACACTGGAAAACACACACACACACACACACACACACACACACACACACACACACACACACACACACACACACACACACTCACACACACACTCACTCTCCCTATACCTGTAACCTTCCTCACTCCTCCGTTTCCTCCCCTTTTCCTCCTCATACTCCCCCAACCATCCTATACCTCACCATCGACCCTCCATCCCACAATCCTACACATCCTACACCCTAACCCACTTCTCCCTCCTTTATTTCACCCCCTCTTTCCCCCTCCCTCCAACTTCCCTTCCCCCTCCCCTCTTCCTCTCCACCTCCAACTCCTCCTCCCCTCACACATTCTTTATATCTATAGAGTCGGCCATTTTATACGAGCCCCCCTCCTCCTCCTCCTCTCCTCTCCCTTCACATTTCTCCCCTCACGGCTTAGGTCTTCCCGCTCTCAGCCTCATACACACTCCTCCCGCAGATACATCAAACTACAACAGGAGAAAATACAAACAAAAAAAGGTCCTCCTGTGCCTACCGACGAAGCCCTATAAAATGACGCAGATAAATGACAAAAAAAAAATAAGAAAAAAAAATCCATCTTTAATATTGGAGAGTTTTGGGTACTAAGCTGTAGCCTTCATTTGTTTCATCTATCGTGGGAGGAAGAGGATTCAGTCGTCTATAACGGGGTCCGATGCCACTGCTTCATCAACCCGGTTTCCTCGTCTATTGATTACCGCTACTTGTACCTCCTCCTCCACCTCCTCTTGCCCCTCCCCCCCCTCTCCTTCTCTCTCTCTCTCTCTCTCTATCTTTCTCTCCTTCTCCCCCCTCCCAGATCAGTCTTTTATTGAATAGTGTCAAGTCTCTCCCTCCTATAGCGAGTTATAACGAGAAAAACCGTAAAATTCAACAGTATGACTGACAATGGTCGCCGCACCGTCCCTTGTATTGACAGTGTAAACAATTGTCTTTTGTTTGGCCTCTCTCTTCACCCCCTGTTCTTCCCTCCCCCCTTGACCTTCAATCTTCCTTATCCCTCTCATTTTCTCCTTCCCTAATCTCTCTTCATTTCATTATTCTTCCTCACATCTTTCTCCTCCTCGTCTCTTGTCTTCAAACTCTCCTTCCCTACCCATTCTTCACCTCCTCCTCCTCCTCCTCTCCCTACCTCCTAACCCTCAACTCCCCCTCTCCTCCTTTCTCCCCCTCCTCACCTCGAGTCTCTGGGGGTCGTCGTGTCCATGGCAACCACGTCGGACGCTAACTCCCCCTCTCGATCTAGCCCACATCATCGGCGCTATCGTCTCCTCCTCTCCCCACTCCCCCACCACTCCCTCTTTCTCATCACCGAATTCTGAGATCTTCACTCTGGTTCACTCCTTCGGTCTACACTTCAAGCAATTAACCTGTATCGGGGTTCAAAAGAGAGGTTCTGGGTGTAAGGAGGGGTTCGAGGAAGACGAAGTTTGCCATCAGGGAGGAGAGAGAGAGGAGAGAGAGAGAGAGAGACAGAGAGAGAGAGAGAGAGAGAGAGAGAGATTCACCTCTATCAACTGACCAATAAGGAGAGAGGAGTTCATTAATAGACGAGTTGTCATTGGTAGAGATTTCCGGGGAGAGACGAGGGAGGGAGAGAGAGGGAGGTGGTAGAGGGGGAGGGGAGGATTAGGAATCGAGGGGTAAGGTCTGACTCCCTATTGGCTGGCGGCGGGACAAAAACTCGCCTCCCATTGGCCAGTTCTCGGGCGATGCTCTGTGACTCACTGATATTCTAATGTAAGATAAGATGCAGATGTTTGCCATTGGTCTCCTATAGTGGCCAATCACAGGTCAGAGAGGGGGATGACGTGTGTGTGTGTGTGTGTGTGTGTGTGTGTGTGTGTGTGTGTGTGTGTGTGTAAAATGTGTATATACGTATGTAACTCAAAGTGCGCAAGTCTGTGCATGTGTGTGTGTGTGTGTGTGCGCGTGTCTGTATGTGTGTGTGTCTGTGTGTGTGTGTGTGTGTGTGTGTGTGTGTGTGTGTGTGTGTGTAAATGTGTGTGTGTGTGTAAATGTGTGTATATACGTATGTAACTCGTGCGCGTGTCTGTATGTGTGTGTTTGTGTGCCTTTGTGTGTATCTATATTCATGTATGTTTTTCTGTATATTTGTGTACCTGTGTAAGTGTGCACGTGTTTCTGTATGTGTACGTATGTCTTTTGTGTATGTATGTGAGTGTACATGCGTGACCGTGTGTACGCGTGAGTGTTACTAGGACTATTATTTACCTTCATGTGTACCAACGACACCTTAGAGAATACACCTGCTGTATATGATTACTTTATACCTGTGTGAGTAAAGGTGAGTCAATAACAGTTGTTTATTGGGGTGTGTATGGTGGTCCTGTCTGTCTGTCTGTCTGTCTGTCTGTCTGTCTGTCTGTCTGTCTGTCTGTCTGTCTGTCTGTCTGTCTGTCTGTCTGTCCGTCTGTCTGTCTGTCTGTCCGTC